AAAGTGCCCAAAGATGCAGCCGCCGCAGGCGGCGTCGTTCTCGTGCGCCATGACGATCGGCAGCCTGGCGCGGCGCGCGGCGCGCACCTGCTCTGCGAGCGCATCGCCGCTATCGCCGGCCCACGTCGCCCTGTTCAGGTAAAGCAGCATGTGCGTCGCCTCGTCGCCGCCGCCGCTGTCGCTCGAGCTAGGCAGCGAGGAGAGGCGCGAGGGCGTTGCGTCGGTGATCGAGACGCCGCCCGCCACGGCCGCCGCGACCGCATCGGCGAGATCTCGCGCCCCGGCGTTCAAAGTCGAGGCCCAGAGAACCACCGGCTTGGGAGGGGCGAGGTCGACGGCTCGGACCTCGCCCGGGATGCACAGGGGCAGCTCGTCCTCGCCCGCGAACTTTGGCGTCTTCAGCAGCAGCGCCTCGGCGATGACCTTGAGCGAGACGTGCTGGAAGGCCTCGATCCGATGCCACACCGCCATCGGAGAGCCGGCGTCAAAGATGGCGGCCCGCAGCTCCTCGGGGCACTCGGATCGCAGCTCGGCGAGCGTGCCTCCGCCCTTGTCCGGGTCTGCCTCGTGGACGAGCACGAGCGGCTTGCCCATCTCCAGCGCGGCGCGGACCTCGCGCAGGCAGTTCGTCGAGCGCAGGTAGCCCCGCGACAGGAAGCAGAGCACGACCTGCGAGCGACGAATGCACGCCTCCAGCTCTCCGATGTTCTTGAGGTCGTCGACGTCGAGGAAGATCTCGCAGCCGGGCAGGAACTGCTGCAGCTCGTTCTTGATGACGGCGACGGCGTCCTGCAAGGGAGGAAGGCAGGTCAGAGGTACCTTCTCCGCACATGCAAAGCCGTGGCGGGGCAAGGGGGCGGCAAACCTGCCCCGTGCTCCAGACGTGGCTAAGGAAGAGGTGCCACTCCTGGCCGTCGGCGAGGGTGATGCCGTCGCGCATCGGCTCGCGCATCGAAGAGGCGAGCCGCATGGTCTTCGCCCTCGAGGCGCTGACCGCCAATACAACGATGACGGCTAGCGAGATGGCGAGCATGACCGCGGTGAGGACGACGACGAAGGTGGTGGCGCCGCGAGAAGTCGTGTAGCCAACGAGGGTATAGCACATGTCTTCGTACGCGGTGCTGTCGCACAGCTGCGGCGGTGGGGAGCGGGTTGTGTGAGGTTGCGCGGATGAGGGAGAGAGAGGGAGGCGAGGAAGCGCCAGCAGGGGCGCGGACCTGGATGACCACTCCCGACGCGAAGCAGCACGTGAGGAGCAGGTTGGCGATGCACGCGAGGCAGAGGTCGTCGGAGCGCCGGTAGGGTCGGGCGAGCGCTAGGCAGGTGAGAAACATGGCCGAGACGATGGCGGCGACCACGGTGCGCAGCAGCTTGCGGGAGCCGTAATCCTGGTCGATGAAGAGCACCATCGAGGTGAGGAAGATCTTGCGGACCAGGTCGAGCACCTCCCAGAAGAGGAAGCGGCCAGAGTAGTCCCGCCACAGGAAGCTCGTTGCGCGAGAGAGCGGCGTTGCGCGCTGCGCAGCCACGGGCTTGCGGACGCGGAGCAGCAGCGCCAAGAAGCCGAGCGGCACGAGGACGGGCCAGAGGGCGAAGAAGGCCCAAAAGTACGGCGCGAGTCCGCTCGTCTCGTCGTCCCACGTAGGGCCGGCGTCGCACGTGAGCGACGGGTCGGCGAGCAGGAAGCTGATGCGCTGGCCTGTCGTGTCGTCGTAGCGAAAGGACTCGCACAGCCTCGCGCTGAAGATGGAGCGCGAGACGGAGGGAAGCACCAGGTAGAAGATGAAGATCGCCCAGTAAAGGAGGCGGCCGAGCAGCTGGCGGTCGAATGCCTGCTTGTTGTTGAGGACCGCCGCCGCCGCCACAATGGCGAGCGACACGAAGGCGACAGCGGCGTACGGCCAGGTGCCCGCGACAAGCAGCCGCGTGCTCATGGCTCCGATGCAGCTGCCGGGGATGGCGACGCCAAACAGGTCGAGGCTGAACAGCTTGAGCACGTCGAGCCAGCGGGTAAAGTGCTCGTCGAGGCGGACGCCGTAGACGAGGCCGAGGATGCTGACGACCTGGTAGAAACTGACGACGACCTTGAACTTGGGCTGCAGGCCGACCGCGGACTCGATGCGGGCGGCCCGCCTTCGGAGGCGGCGGGAGAAGGGGAGGCGACGGAGCCCAGCATAGGCGGCGGCGAGCACAGCGATGACGATGACAAAGCCGACAAAGATGCCGGCGGAGCGAGCCGTCGAGGGGCAGGCGACGCAGCGCCCCTCGGCAGAGCTAAAGTAGTCCGAGTCCGCGACGCAGACCTCGCAGAGCGGGCCGGTGTGGCCGGCGGCGCAGTATAGGTCGCCATCTCCGTCGGCGAGGCGGCGGGAGGGCTGGCCGGAGCCACCAGAGCACGTCTCTGAGTCACAGCGGTGGAGCTCCGAGGTGGCGTCGGAGGCGCGCCAGTAGCCGGCGTCCACGCCGAGGGACGCGAGAGTGGTGCCGGCGTTGCAGTTGGCGTGAAGCGGGCACGACTTGCAATGGTCGGTCGGGTTCTCAAAGACGTCGTCTGGACCGGCGCTCGCGCCCTTCAAATAGAAGCCCTCCTTGCAGATGGAGCAAGTGACGTCGCCGCTCTTGGAGCTGAGGGGGTGGGGGCAGAGAGTGCACTGCGAGAGGCCCTCGCTCGCCGCGTAGGTGTCCGCCTCGCACTCCTCGCAAGCGGTGCCGGAGGCTGCGTAGTGGCCGATAGGGCAGAGCTCGCAAGCGGGCATGTTGGCCGAGGGGGCGATGCTGCCTGGAGCGCACGCCGTCTGCTGCGTCGAGCCCGTGGTGGCGAAGTGGCCCGGCGAGGCGTCGGTGCACTCGCTCGCGGCGGTGAGGTTGGTCGCAGTCGAGTAGGAACCCGCCTCGCACGGCAGCGGCGCCGCGGCGCCCACGGCGCAGTAGCTGCCCTGCTCGCACGCGCGGCAGCCCGTAGCGCCCGTATCGCTCTGGTAGGTCCCGCCCGCGCACTTGTCGCACGCCTCCATCCGCTCGGTCGGCGCGATCGTGCCCGCCGCGCACTGCGTCGGACGCGCGGCGCCGCCCGGACACGACGAGCCCGCCGGGCAGTCGAAGCAGTCGGGGATGCCGTCGCCGTCCGTGACGTTGGCGTATGTACCCGGCTCGCACGCCGCAGGCAGCTCGAGCGACGCGCCGACCGGGCAGAAGCTGCCAAGCCCGCACCGGACGCAGCCGGCAGCACCGATGGCGTTCTGGTAGGATCCCGCCTTGCACGGCTCGCACTCGGCGTTGCGCGAGCCGGATGCGAATGTGCCGGCGCGGCAAGCCATGGGAGTCGCGCTGCCAGTGGTGCAAGCGTGGCCCGAAGGGCAGTCCTCGCAGCCGCCCGCCGAGTCAAGATTCGTCTTGCTCGAGTAGCTGCCAGCCTCGCACGGCAGCGCCGCCGCCGCGCCCGGCTCGCAGAAGCTGCCTTGCTTGCACGGCTTGCACTCCGTCTTGCCGCCCATGTCCTGGTACGTGCCGCCGGCGCAGGGCGTGCACTCGCCCTGCCTGGTCTCGTTCGTGTACGACCCCTTGGCGCACGCCGTCTGCTGCGTCGAGCCGGTGGTGGCGAAGTGGCCCGGCGAGGCGTCGGTGCACTCGCTCGCGGCGGTCGCGCCCTGGTAGGAGCCCTCGACGCAGAGCTGGCAGACCTCGTTGCGCGTGCCGCTGGCGAAGCTGCCCTCGCCGCACGCCGTCTGCTCGGTGGCGCCCCGGGCGGCGATGTGGCCCGGAGCGGCGGGCGTGCACTGCGAGGCGGCCGACAGGTCCGTCTTGTTCGAGTAGGACCCGCCCTCGCACGGCAGCGGCCTCGACGCGCCCAGCTCGCAGTAGCTGCCTTTCTCGCAGTCGCGGCAGCCAGTTGCGCCCGTGTCGTTCTGGTACGTCCCGCCCTCGCACGGCTCGCACGCGGAGAGGCCGCCCGTGGCGGCGTAGCTGCCCTTGGAACACGCCGTCTGCTGCGTCGAGCCCGTGGTGGCGATGTGGCCCGGCGAGGCGTCGGTGCACTCGCTCGCGGCGGCGAGGTCGGTGGCGTTCGAGTACGACCCGGCGGGGCAGGGAAGGGGCACGCTCGTCCCCTCCGGGCAGACGTGGCCAGCATCGCAGGGCAGCGCCTCATAGGTCGCCTCTGTGGGGCACTGGGAGCCTGCGGGGCAGCGGCCGGCGCAGCTGCTGCTCGACTGCTCCTTTGGGTCGGCCGAGCCGAGGAGGCCGGCGGCGCAGGCAAAGGGGAAGTCCTCATCGACGGGCAGCAGCGGCAGCTGGTAGAGGTCATCGCCGAGGAGGGAGGGGTCGTCCTCCCAGTTGCAGGGCTGCACGAAAGTCGCGGCCTGGCAGTACCAAGGCGGCTGGTCGACTGCTGCGACGGCGAGGGCGCAATCGCCGCGGTGCTCGAGGCAGTCCGCTTGCTTTGGCGAAGGGTTGCCGTAAAAATCGTTGCCGTAAGCGCACGCCTTCCGGTACACCTCGCAGCGCGCGTTTGGCAGCCAGCGGCCGGCTGGGGCGGGGAGGGTGTAGGAGACCTCGCCAGCTAGAAGGAAGACGGAGCGGCCCTCTTGGGCCAAGCAGCCGCTGATGAGAGTGCCGTCACTCAGGGCGGTGCTCCCGCCCTCCGAGTAGAGGCCGCCGCCAGACAGGGCAGAGCAGCCGCTGATGAGTGTGCCGTCGCTAAGGGAGGTGCTCCCGCCCTCCGAGTAGAGGCCACCGCCAGACTCTGTGGCGTTGCAGTTGGAGATGGTTGAGCGGGCCAAGCTGGCTGAGCCCGAGCGCACGTACACTGCGCCGCCAAACGTGGCATCGCAGCCGGAGATGGTGGAGTCGGTCACGATGAGGTCGCTGTTCCACGTGAGTGTAGCTCCGCCGACCTGTGCGGTTGCGAGGAGAGAGCGGGGTGAGGCAGCCGTGGCCCTCTCCATCTCTCGCCCCGCTGCCGTGAGGCGCTGCAGGGGTGCGGCTAGCTCTACGCGGCGCACATTGCCAGCCGAGCAGCTCGACACGGCCGAGCCGATTATCGAGACCGCACCGCTGTTCCAAGCGTAGACGACGCCGCCGCCCTGCGGTTGCGAGGAGAGAGCGGGGTGAGGCAGCCGTGCGTGGCCCTCTCCATCTCTCGCCCCGCTGCCGTGAGGCGCTGCAGGGGTGCGGCTAGCTCTACGCGGCGCACCGCGCCAGCCGAGCAGCCGGCGACGGTCGAGCTGATTATCGAGACAGCACCGCTGTCATACGAGTAGACGACGCCGCCGACGCCGTCGCCGTACTGCGGTTGCGAGGAGAGAGCGGGGTGAGGCAGCCGTGGCCCTCTTCACCTCTGGCCCCGCTGCCGTGCGGCGCGCTGCAGGGCGGCGGCTAGCTCTACGCGGCGCACCCAGTCAGCCCTGCAGTTTGTGATCGTCGAATCGATGATCTCGACGTCGCCTGCGCCGAAAGCGAACACAACGCCACCGTACTCCGCCCTCCCGTTGACGAGGGTCAGCCCCCGCAGGGTGAGGCTGCAGCCGCCCTCGAGGTAAAAGAGCCTGGTCTCTCGCTTGCCGTCGAGCGTCGCGCCCTCGCCGCTGCTCGCGACGGTCACTTTGATGTTGGAGCCGCAGCTGATTTGGCTGCTCAGCTTGAACTCTGCACCGGGCGGCAGGTAGATGGAGACGTTGGCAGCAGCTGAAGTAGCGTCCTCGATCAGGGAGCGGAGCTGGTCCTCGCTCGCCGCGGCGACATAGCCGGGGGAGAGCGGCGGCAGCGGCGGCAGCGGGGGCGGTGATGGCGGTGATGGCGGTGATGGCGGTGAAGGCGGTGAAGGCGGCGGTGGTGGCGGTGAAGGCGGGCGGGTCGCCCAGCAGATCTGACGGCAGAGGGAGGAGGGCATCAGAGCGGAGAAGGAAGGGGAGCGAGAGAGACCAGGGGCGCGCCTTCCAGCCCGGCCCGACTACGCTGCGATCCGATCGCCACTCGATCACGCCGTCCTCCGCCACCGCGCCACTCGGGGGCCCCGAGGTGCCGCAGTACTTCTTGCCGTTGACGGTGAGATAGTCGAAGGGGCAGCCGTTGCCCGCCTCCACATCAAAGGCGACCGTCTCCAGCTCGTATGGGGGCACGCCGCTGATGGTGCACTCCTCGTTCCTGCCATAGCTGTTCGGGTAGTTTGGCGACGCGGCGCACGAGCCGCCGTCGGTGAGCGAGCACGGGCCGGTGATGAAGTAGCCGCCAGGGAAACCCGGTGGCAGCGGCGGCGGCGACGGAGGCGCAATTTGCGAGAAGGAGACGTCGTCCAGCGCCATGTCCGAGCTCCAGCTCGGCCCCGTCTCACCGTTGAAGCGCACCTGAGTCGTCGAGGCGGGTAGGATGACCGCCGCGTCGAGCCAGCTAGTGCCCTGGTCGCCAGTCCTACTCCAGAGCGTCGACCAGCCCGTCTCGTTGTTGTAGGTCTCGACGGAGAGGGTGCCCATGTCCGAGCTGTGGGAGTCGTACATGTGGTAGAAGAAGGAGAGGGTGGCGTCCTGCTGGAGCGAGAAGCGCGGGCTCTCGAGCTGGTGCAGCTTGTTGTAGATGCTAGAGGCCTCGGTGAAGATGTAGGAGCCCGAGCCAGTGGTGTGGTCGCCGCTCGGGCCTGTGCCTGGCGACGGCGTGCCGCCGCTCGTGCGCGTCCAAGTGTACCCGTCCGGCGCGGTGTCGTTCCAGATGCAAGTGTCACCCTCGAAATCGCAGCTCAGCTGCACCATGTCGGGTAGAAGAGGCGGTGTCGGCGGCGGCGGCGGAGGTGGCGGCGGCGAGGGTGGCGGCGGCGAAAACGGAGAGGGCGGTGGAGGCGACGGAGAGGGCCCGCCAGACGCGGCCACCCTGCCGACGAGCAGCGCGGCGGCGGCCACGCGGACTTGTGCGGCGGATGGCTCGAGCGAGGCGACCCGCCCCAGCCGCAAAGCTCCCGCGCCGGCGAGGCCCGTCTCGACAAGCCTCCGGGCCTTCCCAGCAGCGCCGCGCCCCCGAGTGTACCTCACGACGAAGGCCTCGAAGGTCACGCCGCACAGGCCGACCATTGCGACAAAGCAGAAGAAGTAGAAGAAGATCTGAGTGCGGCAAACACCAGTGCTGCCAGCCATTGCCATATCCTCGATCTTCTTGGCGAGCCTCGAGCGCTTCTGGACCTTGTCGGGGCCGGTCTTGCTGGCCGTGGAGCCTCTCCAACTCAGCGCCACGACAGAGACGCCAAGGCACCCCATGAGGGCACCCATGAAGCCCGGGGCAGGCTCATTCTGTGAAGGGAGGGGGAGGGGGGTTGGAGCGGAGGCGGCCGGGGACGGCGCAGCGGAGGCGCCGATGTGGGGCCGACGGTGTGGGAGCGGGGAGCGAGGGCGGGGCGAAGGGGGGGCGAGAGGGGGCGGAGGTGGCGGAGGGGAGGGCGGCGGAGCAGGGAGAGGCGGCAAGGGAGGTGGTGTGGGGTGGGTGGAGGGGCGGGAGGTGGCGGCGGGTGAAGAGAAAAGAGAGAGCGGAGAGTCGCACACCTTTGTGTCCGTCTCGTCGGCCTCGCCCTTGGAGTGGGCCGTGGCGGTCGTGCAGACCGTCTCGTTGCTCGTGGAGCCCGAGGCCTTCATCGGATCCTCGGAGACGCAGAGCTCGGTGAGCGGCTGCGGCGGCTCCGCGCACCACACAGGGGCGCCGCCGCCGCACGTGAGACCGACGGAGTTGGCGGTGGAGTCGGCGAGCGAAGCGTCGCCAGTCTCGGCCTCGCCAAAGGAGGCGAGCTCGGCGTCGGCCGCGGCGCCGATGGGCTTTAGGGTGGTCGGGGCGGCGGCGCGCGAGGCGGCGCCGCTGAACTTGGAGAGGTTGAACGGGAAGGAGACGGCTGGATGGAAGGTGGCGACGTCCGGACAGGCACCTAACAGCGCCCACCCACCCCCGAGGACGTCTTGGTGGAGCAGGAGCTCCGCGGCCTTGTCGGGTTTGCGCGAGGCAGACGCCGCGAGGGCGAGCGACGGTGCGTCGGTCTCGAGCTTGATGCTGAAGTCGGTGCGGTTGCGCGTGTCGATGAGTGCCCCCCCGCGCCGCTGACGGGGGCGAGAGGCAGCGGTTGAGGGCGTCGCGAGGACGGCGAGCACGAGCATTACGGCGTTTTGCAGATGTAGGCGGAGACAGATGCACGAAATTGAGATCGCAGAAAAAAAACGCGCTCGGGCTGTGTTCTTCAGGGCGGCTCGCACAGTAGTGTGTGTACGTTGGACGAGGTGTGGTGTGGACGCGAGAATACTTAGCTCCGCCGTTCATGGAGGTAACCGATGCGAGTGCGCGGCGCATCCCCGGCGGCCCGACGGTGGCCGGCGCTTGCGCTCCAGCCCCGTCCGCCGCCGGATCCGCGGCCGCGGGGTCCCTGTCATAGCTACCGGTACGCGCGCCATGGGGCGACTTTGTTATGTACATTATCTCGTGCAACGACCCTCCTGTGGCGCCTCGCGCTCCCGGAGAGAGAGAGAGAGACATTACAGATTTCTTTTCTACGTCAGTAGCATAAGCAATATACCAAACAACTCTAACAGTTAACGTCCCCCCCCTCATTTTCCTACAATCGCTGTGAACCCAGCCACGTAGGCACATAGGTTAGCCTGACGAAGACCGATATACGCGGGCTACACGTTTCTCCGAGACCTCGCGAGCGGCCGGTTATTCACACCTCGGGGCAGTGTGATGTGTGTTTGGGCAGGCGATGCCTGCTCGTGCTGGAGGGAAGAAACACTATCAAGATATACCCTGTCCGGCAGAGTAAGCCGAATCTACGTGCTACGAGACCCCTAAGCCCTATAACGTAGGCTCAGATCACTTCTTTCGTCTTTCCAGTAAAGCCGTAGCTGGCGCGCCCCCCCTAGCTTCCACCATCCCCGGCCGGGCGACCGCTCTGGCGGCTTCCCCCGCGCGATGCCGCGGCGAGCTCAGCAGCCCCTCGAGCAGCGCCCCGACCGCTCCCACGTCTGCGCGCAAGTGCCAGCGGAACGGGTCGAGCAGCCTTCCGTCGGCGTCGAACGCCTGCACCTCGCGCGCCGGGTCGTTGTTTTGCCACGCCGCGTACCTGCCACGCCAGCGTGGGGAGTCACTCCCAAGCACGGGTCCGGGGCAGAGGGGAGGCGGTGCCGACGGAGGCGGCGGAAACGGTGGCGGTGGTGAGGGTGGAGATGAGGTGGAGGCGGCGGCGAAAGGGGCGGTGGAGAGGGCGGCGGCGGGGAAAACGGTGGCGGGGCTGGCGGTGGCGGGGACGGCGGCGGTGGGGGCGGCGGCGGTGAGACGGCGGCGGTGGGACGGCGGCGGTGGGGCGGCGGCAATGGGGCGGCGGCGGAGAAGGAGGAGGTGATGTGGGGTATCGAGCGGCGGACGCGTCACCCGCGGCGCTGCCAGCGGCACTGATTGGAGTAGTACGCGTTTGCGTTTGCGCGGTTGAGCAGCTCGAGCACGGGCGCGCCTAAGTGCAGATCTCCCCGAATCTCCCCAAATCTCCCCCATACCTCCCTAGCACGGGCGCGCCCGCGGGGAGGAAGAGGTTCCAGACCAGCGCCGCGCCTGAAGAAGCGTTCCACGAAAGGTCCGGGAGAGGTCCGGGAAAGGTCTGGGAAGAGGCTCCGGACCAGCGCCGCGCCGTGCGCGCCGATCAGCCCCGCAGCGCCTCGCACAAGCGAGAGCTGCTCGCGCGACGACAGCGCGCCCAGCTCCACCAGCCGCACCTCCGTCGCCGACCCGACCGGCGGCGTCCCGCCGTGCCGGAGCCTACGTCCCCGAGGCCAGTCATACGCAGCGTGGTCTGTGCGCGTGGACGTGTGTTGCGTGTGGACAGCGGGTGTGTTGCGCGTGGGCCCGCCGAGGCAAGCACACGCCGAGGACACCCCTGGGACGTGCGCACCGCCGACTGGCTGGCGGTCTTCAGCCTCGAGCCGCATTCTGCCCTCGAGGCTGGAGATGCGGTGAGATGCGGTGAGATGCGGTGAGATGCGGGGAGATACTCCGGTCAAGGGGCGCCCCAGCCTGCCCTCAAGGCTCGTGCGAAGCTCCTCCTCGTTGAGGATGCGCCGGTCGCTGCTGGCGGCGCGAGAGAGGAGCAGCAGTAGTCGCCTCCGAGCGCCAGGCTCGGCTGCCGCCGCCGGCAGCTGCGGCGGCGGCAGTGACGGCGGCGGTGCTCCGAGGACCGCACTGGAGAGCCACGACGCAATCGGGCCGAGCAGTGCAGTGCGGTCGGTCGGGTCTGGCTTCCACACCTGCGGGCAAAGGGGGGGGGGGGGGGCAGTCTACTCCTCGAGGCCTCGACACTGCCCCTCGCCGCCCTATCAACACCGCCGACCGAGGGAGATTAAGCCTTCTCCCCCGAGGGAGATTAGCCTTCTCCCCCGAGGGAGATTAAGCATCTAGACCGCCGAACATCCCCTCTCCCTCCCTCCCTCCCTCCCTCCCTCCCTGTCCCTGTCCCTATCCCTGTCTCAGTCTCTCTGTCTCTCGAAGCATCTCCTCCGCACGTTCCACCACCATGTCTCCGTGGCAGGTTGCACGAGCAGGGCGCGGCCAAAGGAGCGGACTCCTGCCGAGCGCGCGGCGGGCTCGCCCACAAAGCGAGGCGCGCGCGCCGAGAGGCCGGGAGACCAAAACACGGCCGTCGGCGTGAGCGACGCGTTGTTGAGCAGGAAGACGTGAACGGAGTGAGCGGTGTCTGGCTTGGAGCCGAGCAGGTCGCGCATCGCCGCGGCCGTGATGTACAGAGAGCCCATCTGGTGAAAGAGGTTGGCGTAGTCGGCCAGCAGGAACAGGGCGATGGACTCGTCCTCCGCGCTCCGCTGGCCCAGCGGCCGCTTTGGCCGGATCGCGGCGACGAGCGGCTGTAGGTGCAGCCCCTCGTAGTCAGCGAGGAGAGTCTGCAGGTCGTTTGCGGAGCACGGCGCCCGCATCACGCCACGCTGTGGCGCGCCGAGGAGCGGCCGAGACGCCCAGAGAGACGGTGCAGCCCTCGTGTCGAAGAGGGAGAAATCCACGCTCACGTCGGAGAGCAGCGCACCGTAGTGCGATGTGCGGACGGCCCCGCTGCAGAGCTCGCGGTCCGACAGGCGGCGACGAGGCAGCGGCGTCTGCATCGAAGGCCACAAGCTCAGCGTCCGCCTCAATCGACCTCTCGTATGGCGGCGACGGCTTCGACGGCAGCCTCTGCCTCTTGGCGCGTGGGTTTTGCGGAGTTTGCGGGTCGGGCCAGTGCTTCGAGTACCGGGTACCCCGTACGACTTGCGACTACGGGGACCCCGGGGGCGACCGAACAAACAAAACATCTGTTTATGCTCTGTTCCCGGGCATTCACACTATATTCCTGAGATAATTGGGCGATTATATCCAAAAGGGATTTCATCCCTTTTGGGGATACCCATCACTGAGCCGACAATGCTACGGGTAGCCCCAGGGTGGCGCCCGCCCCCATACCCTCGGGCACTTGCCTGCGCCCTCACGCGCTAGCCCACGCCCTGCCCCGCAATATCTCACTCCATCCCGGCCTGCGGCATACCTCGGCACCCCCTTGCACGGAATCTGAGCGTGAGGGAATCTGAGCGTGAGGGAATCTGAGCGTGAGGGAACCTGGGCAGTGCCGCGTAGTGCGGCGTGCGCGCGGGCGTGCGCGCACGTGCGCGGGCGTGCGCGGGCGTGCGCGGGCGTGCGCGGGCGTGCGCGCACGTGCGCGCACGTGCGCGGGCGGGCGCGTAGTGCTGCGTAGTGCCGCGTAGTGCCGCGTAGTGCCGCGTGCGTGCGCGCGCGTGCGCGGCGTGCGCGGGCGTGCGCGCGCGTGCGCGGCATGCGCGGCCAGGGCGTAGGCAAGTGCCTGAGGGTATGCACGGGTGGGCGCCACCCTGGGGCTACCCATAGCATCGTCGGCTCAGTGATGGGTATCCTTGGTTTGGAGATTCGTGTACGTGTTTCGGTGTTGGGTAAAACGTATACAGCACTCTTCATCGCGCGATGCGGCCCTGCCTTGGCTCCTGCTCCTATGCGGGAGCTAGGGGGACACTTTCTCCTTGAGCACTTGAGCACTGGATAGGGTCGATTCCGCATGGTACGGGACCCTCCCTATTCATGTGAGTCACTCGACTGCGTCGAGGGGGGGGACGTCTGAACCACAGCGTGTCCCGGTCCATAGTTTCTCTTCTTATCCGTTACCATGTAGAGCAAGGTCGAGGGCGGGCCCTTTCGGGCTCGGGCCGCCCTCTCGCCCGCACCTCTGCGGTCGGGCTCGGGCCGCCCTCTCGCCCGCACCTCTGCGGGGCTTGCACGAAAAGCAGTCCCAGCCATGAAGCAAACTAAAGAGCCACAAGTCGCCGGCGCACGAGGCACCGAGGCAGCCGCAGTACTTGTGCTTGTTTGGTCTTCCGCGGACGTGATTTGTATCGAGTGCATCGAGATTTTTTTTCGGCCTCTCGAGCGCTGGGTCGCCGGTGTGTGCCACAGACAACACTGGGGCCCCACGGGACTGGCGCGCACTGGCACTGGAGCCAGAACCTGACACTGGTTTGCGCGTTGTGTCGACACCTCCATGCTCCTGTCCCGCGACTGGCCCCTTCTCGGCCTGCCGCTGCTCGAAGACGGCGGCCAATCGCGCACGCTGCTTCCGGTGTTTCTCAAGGAGCGCCTCGTGGCCACACAGGCCAAGTCTGAGATCGGCTACTCCGTAACGGATGCTGGGCCCGCGCTCGCCGACGTGGTTCCCGGTTCGCACTCTGCGGTCGTGTCCTTCTCGCCTCGCCGCGACGGCACAGAGATGGTCTGGGAGGTTGAGTTCGAGACGCGTGCGCGGCGCGACTTTTGGGCGGCCTTCACGCGAACGAGCGTCGGGGAGGTCTCCTCGAACCTCGCCTCCTTCGTTCAGCCGGAGAGAGAGTTCACGCTCTCAGCGCGCCTTGCCGGCTCGCCGGAGGCGGCGGTCGGCGCGTGGCTGCAGTGCCTCGACGACGGCGACCTGGGCGTGCCGATGCCGCCGCCTGTGGTCGTGAGCAGAGGCGACGAGAGCAGGGCGGGCTACGAGCGGCTCATCCTCCCTCCGGGGCTGCGCGAGAGGGTGACTCGTGTGGAGAGGACGGCCCTCGAGTACACGGTATTGAACCCCGCCTGGCGCACCTGCTATCCGGCCCACACGCACCGCGGCGAGGTCGCCTTTGCGCCGTGCGAAGACGCCGGCGGCGGTGCGTGCACGAGGATGGTCTGGAGGGTGTGCGTGCGCCCGCAGCGTTACGGCCGGTGGGCGGTCGAGCTGCTCACGACCCTGATCGTCCCCGCCTTTGCACGCAACTTGGCTGCGCGCCGCGCAAGCGACGAGGGCCGGGAGGTGGACGCGGGCGTGGAGTGGTGTTGGAGCTGAGACGCGGTGTTTCTTGTGTGGTGACTCTGTGTGCGGTGTTCACATTGCTCATTGGTCATTGCACACTCAGCATTTTTTGAACGAAAAGCATATGGATATCATGTGAAATAGAGATTAAGAGCAGCTGTCTTTTTACTTTTATGTGCAAAAACAAAACTTTGGGAAACTTATTTTTGGGTTTTCGATTCTCCGTGTTTTCCGTTTCGCGGTTTGCTATGGCCTATGCCATTTCGGAATCGAATTTCGCTTTTCGGTTCCATCTTGATCATCGAGAGAGAGAGAGAGAGAGAGAGAGAGAGAGAGAGAGAGAGAGAGAGAGAGAGAGAGAGAGAGAGAGAGAGAGAGAGAGAGAGAGAGAGAGAGAGTACCTTCTGGGTGTGCTATGCAAAACCACTTGTCTTACCCAACGCAACACGCACATTGATAAGTCACACAGACATGATGCTAACTATGGTGGGCGCTACACGATCGTCTCTAGGGCGGGGTCGCGGAATTATCGCGGAATGGGCGCCCAGAGGCCAGCGCGCTCAAGCACGTAGGTAGGCAGCCTCTTGAAGCCGGATTTGCCGCGGAAGCGGGATTCGCCACGGGAGCTGAAGTGCTCCGGCGAAATATTGCATCCACGACTGCCAGCCAGCAGGCACCTCAAGCGTGAGAGATGAACAGCAAACCATGTTGGCACGCCAGGATTGCACAGATGGGAGTTGGCACCGCCTGTGCCGCAGTCCGCAGTAGCACACAAGCCTGGGTCATTTGGGGCCAATAAATTGGCATCATCAGCTTCCAGCCCATCCCCCCGATGGGCTGGATTGCAGCCAGTCTCGGCGATTCGCCATCCAGCAATGCGCACCAAATGCGTTGCAGCATACGCCTCACGGGAAAGGCCGGCCGTCGGCTCTGGCAAAAAGAATTTCAGTATTTTGAAATATTGCCGTCATTAGCTGCCTCGCCTCGTGCGTGTGCCAAAAGATTTTAGTTTAAAGAGAGGTCAATACCAAACAACTCTAACACTGTTGCAGACTGTTGTTTGCAGGTTGCGAGGAAGAATTAATTCAGAATTACATCGTAGAATTAAGGGACACCTGTAAGGTGCCTATATGGGCTTCCAGTATCGGACCTTCAAGACATGCGCTTTTGGCCGGTGGCCTCCTCGGTACCTCCGGTGAGATAGTGGCTGGCAGTTCGAGACTGGGGCCGATCGAACTTGATTTGTTCGGAGGAGGAATCCGGCCAGCACGGGTACAAAGAGGGGTACCCGGAGAATCCCCAGCTGCGGAAACGTAGTGTCGCTCAAGAGGTGCGATACTGCGGGGGAGTGTAAGGTGCCTATATGGGCTTCCAGTATCGGACCTTCAAGACATGCGCTTTTGGCCGGTGGCCTCCTCGGACAACCCTAGGTGTTGAATACAAATACATGAATTCACAGAGAGGTCTCCCAGGAGCCTGAATATTGTATTCAAAAAGGCGCGCAGCGCCGGAACACATACGGAATACATGCGGCGCGGAGCGCCGCTAGCTAGTTGTGCAGGCGCGGAGCGAGCGCGCGGCGCGGAGAGCGCGCGGAGCGCGCTAGGCCGCTAGCGCGCGCGGAGCGCGGGCAGAGGGCGGCCACTAGACCATCAGGTCCTCCTCGTTGTCCGAGTTGTTCTCGTCCGAGTCCGAGTCGCAGCGCTCGACGCGCGGAAATTCTTTTTTCTTGAATACAAGGGTTGTATTCATGAATTCAAGATTTCTGGCCTTGAATACTATTTTCCTGAATTTTTCTGCGCTCCGCGAGGTATTCAACACCTAGGCGGACAACACCGAAGTCGTCCCCGCACCTTTCGGATCCTGGACGTGTCCAAGTTGACACGGACGATCTAGAGCCATCGCGATCGGTCTAGATGCTCGCCCCGCTCCTTTTTCTCCGCTCCGCTACCGCCCTACACGTCGGCCGCGTGCCATTCGCGCCGGCAGCACGTCGCCTGTCCAACGCGCCGGCAGCAAGTCGCCTGTCCACTCTCGCGACCACAGCACGAGCGAGCAACACAGCAGCCGTGCCGTCGTCCTTCAAGCCGTCCATTGACTACCCGGGTGTTGTGCCGCTCAGAACCAGCCTCGTCGTACCCCGATCCCCACAGCCAGTCTCCTTCGCGGACGATTCCGACTCGGTGCGCCGGCGGGCTCAAGCCGATCAGAGCGACGCACCACCGCTCCTCTCGCCAGGGGAGGCGCGACGTGTGGCCGTGTTTGAGGACGCCTCGCCCTCCGTCGCCTTCATCTCGACCACGATCCTCACGCCGAGGGGCATTGTTCAAGCCGGCGCTGGCTCGGGCTTTGTCTGGGACGCCGACGGCCACATCGTCACCAACTATCACGTTGTCGCCAACCCAGTCGCGCGCCAGCCTTCCCAGTCGCGAGTGATGGTCTCGCTGCAGGGCATCGAGGGGCAGGTTGAGGCGACGGTCGTCGGGCATGAGGCGGACAAGGACTTGGCGGTGCTCAAGGTGGACCCGGCGAGGCTGCGGCCGCTGAAGCCGCTGCAGGTCGCCTCCTCCTCCACGCTGCGCGTCGGCCAGGACGTGCTGGCCATCGGCAATCCGTTCGGCCTCGACTACACCCTGACGACGGGCATCGTCTCCGCCCTCGGCAGGGACATCGACGGCTACGGCGGAAGGCCGATCAAAGACTGCGTCCAGACGGACGCCGCAATCAACCCGGGCAACTCGGGCGGACCGCTCCTTGACTCGCGCGGCCGGCTCATCGGCGTCAACACGATGATCTTCTCGCCGGGCGGCGCGGGCGGCAACGTCGGCATCGGCTTCGCCGTCCCCTCGGACACCGTCAGTCGCGTGGTGCGGCAGATTGTCGAGTTCGGCAATAACGCGCGGCCGTCGCTTGGCGTCAACCTGCTCGACGACCGGGCGCGCGAGCAGTACGCCCGCAGTTTGGGTCGGCCCCTGCGCGGTGCGATCCTCGCAGAGGTGGTCGCCGGCTCGCCGGCAGAGGCGCTCAGTCTCGCCCCGTGCCGGCGGCGGTACGGCTCGGTCGTGCTCGGAGACATGATCGTCGAGGTCGACGGCAAGCCGATCGGGCGGAACGAGGACCTGATCTGCGCGATCGAGGAGGCGGAGCCCGGCAGCGCCGTCTCGCTCAAGGTGGTGCGCAACTGCGACCCGGAGCGGCTCGAGGAGCTCCGGTTCACGCCGGTTATGCGCAAGACGCTGGCCGAGCGGCGCTGACTCGACAGGTGAACGGCACACGGATTTAGTAGTTGACTCAATTCACGCCAAGAACGAGCAGCTTGCTGCTTGGGGGAAGCCTGGCAGGGTGATGAGTGCGCGTGGCAATTTCTTTTGCGTGTCTGAATTTCTTTGTTTTGGGGGGTTGTCGTGTGAGTGAGGTTTTGCTTGCCTTCCCTGCGACCCCGTGTTGCATGTCTGACTGTCACTATACTCTCTCGATTTCGGTCCCCGGGGTTGTTGAGCACTCCCTTTGTTCTCTTCTCATAAAATCGGAGGGTCGGCCCACGGGGGGACGTGAACTGAACCGACCCAACGATTTTATGAGTAAAAAGAAGAAGAAGACGGAACGATTTTATGAGTGACAGTAGCCGCGAATTCTTTTCCAGATTGCCCTTCTGTCGGCTTCGGCTCCAAGCACCACTCTTGCCGAATCCAATGTTCTCCCTCGCCGCCGCGGTCGCTGCGCTCGCACCACCATCCGCCCGCGCCGACGTGCAGAGGGCGTGGAGAGCGCCAGTGCCGCCCGTGATGCTTTGGAGAGCCGCGCAGCGTCATATCACCTTCTCCTCGATCACGGACGACGCAGAGTCGCTTAGGCGGCTCCCGTGGTGTACGAATCTGGTGTACCTGTGTTAGTGCCAGTGCGCGCCAGTCCCGTGCCCAGTGTCGTGCGAAGGAGTTCGCTAGTAAAATTTTTCGCTGGCTCGTAAAATTGTTCAAAAGAAAGAAAGAAAGAAAACAGACAACCCAAGGGAGGGATGGGTGGGAGGACGGCACGCCGCCACCACACAGGGATTTTAAGGAGAGGGGTGTGATGCGCTACCGTCGCCCACCCTTGGGCGTCCGCCTCTTCCTATCTCTCTTCGCAGTCTCTCGCCGATTCTCGCTGCGACCTTCATGCCACCTCGCGGTAAAATTGTTAAAAAGAAAGAAAGAAAACACACAACCCAAGGGAGGGATGGGATGGGAGGACGGCACGCCGCCACCACACAGGGATTTTAAGGAGAGGGGTGTGATGCGCTAGCCGTCGCCCACCCTAGGGAGTCTGCCTCTTCCTTAAGCAAGTGTAATTCTTTTCGGTCTTAGTTTCTGGTGTGCCGCCCGGCATCGTTTTGGTTTCGCAATGTGGCGCACTGTCACTATCGGCACCGCGTTACTCGCGGCAGCAGCGCTGCTGATGGCATCGCGCAACGCGCACAAACCCGCCGTCGCGAACAAATCCTCGCTCCTCTCCCGGCGGCTGTCAACGACCGCTGAGCCAGCGTTTGAGCCGCTCTGCTCAGTCGAGTGAGTGGCCCCGCGCCGCGCGCCCGACTGCGCCCACCGCAGCGCCTTCCACCCGCCGCCTACCCCCCACCGCAGCTGGAAGCGCTCCAAATGCATGCGCGGCGAGAAGGTCCTGCCGTGCCCCGAGAGGCCGCACTCGGGAGCGACGCCGATCGGGACCGGGGCGTGGGAGCTGACCGAGACGTACACCTACTTTCTCGACCGCGGCCTCACCGCCGCCATCGCCCACCTCGTTGACGGCGGCTCGGTCCTCGAGTTTGGCGCAGGCGATTTCTTTTGAGACCATTCCGTAGACACTTCATCTCGCTACCACCACCACCACCCGCCACGCACTCGCCGCCGCGGCCGGTCCCTGCTGCGTGGTAGGTACATCCCGGGAGGCAAACTCAGGGCGAGGGACTGCACGCCCACGACACGCCCACGACATGTCCACGACACGTCCACCTGTTGTGCATGTCCATGACACACCCATGACATGTCCACGACATCCACGACATCATGATTTCGACCCCCGGCAGGCAAGGGCTGCTTCACGGCGGCGCTGCGAGCGCGCGGCGTGCCGACGCGCGCGTACGACGGCTCACCGCAGGCTCCCCCCCCGCCCCCCCCCACCTCCACCTCTCACCTCCTCCTCCTCTCACCTCCTCCACCTCCCACCGCCTCCACCTCCCTCGCCGCAGGTTGCTGCGCTGACGCGAGGGCGCGGTGGCGGTAGATGCGCACCACGCGCACCCGCGCGCACCCGCACAGTCGAGAGGAGACGGATGGCGGCAGTCGGGGGAGGAGGCATCGCCGGGTCTGATGGCAGGGTCTGCTCTCACGGCCCAGTCTCAGGGGAGGGCGGACCGCGAGAGCGTGAGCTCTGCATCCGCACCCCTCTCGCCCCTCTGGTGGCTCTCGAGGTAGAAGGGGCGTGAGAGGGAGGAAGGCTGCGCACTCGCACGCAGCCGCACAGTCGAGAAGAGTCGCGCAGGGCAGAGGGAAGGCCGAGCGCAAGCGCGTGGGATCTTGCACCGGAGGGGGAGGGCGACCAGAGCGGGAGGGCGACTGCTGCGGGCGTGGGTCGCCGTAGGCTGGTTGGCGCCGCAGACCTGACCACGAGGCTGCAGCTCGGCCCTGCAGACTGGGTGGTCTGCCTCGAGGTGCAATCTCCCCACATCTCCCCACACCTCCCCATATCTGCGGACTGGGTGGTCTGCCTCGAGGTGCGAGATCGCACGAGATCACACGAGATCACACGAGATCGCACGAGATCGCACGAGATCGCACGAGATCGCACGAGATCGCAGGTGGCGGAGCACATCCCGCGCGAGCACGAGCGCCGCTTCCTCGCCAACCTGCTCCGGCGCCCCGCGCAGCTAGAAGGACGACGCATTCTTGTAGTCCAACCAGCGCTCGAGAGGACACGCACTCCGCCGTATTCGAACGGATTCACTGTCCTCGCACCCCTCGTATTCACGCGGTGCTCTGAAGACTCTGGGCACTAGACCGTCTTCCCGCCCCGAGGCTGGCGTATCCACCGCGCACGCACGCGCAGCGCGGTGGCGCGAGCCCATGAATTAAACAGTGATTGATACTGCACATTGTTGATTAATAGGCACGCGCAGCGCGGGCTCGTCCTCTCGTGGCGCCCCCCCCCCCCAAGAAAGCACCTCCAATTCGCCTCCATTCGCCTCCATCTCCACCGCCCCCTCACCCACCCACCTACCACCACCACCGCCCTCGCCCTCACCCTCGCCACCGCCCTCCCCCAGCCGCCCTCCCCTTCACTTCCCCCCCCCCCCCCACCCACCCACACACCCACACCCACACCCACACCCACACACCCACACACCCCCGCACCCCACCCCCCAGGTCCAACAACGAGGGTGGCAACGGCCACGTCAACCTGCGCTCAAACGAGTGGGTGGTTGCGGCGATGGGCAGGCGCGAGATCGGGCCGAGATCGGGCCGAGATCGGGCCGAGATCGGGCCGAGATCGTCGCGGCGATGGGCAGACCCGGCGCTTCGACACACGACGCGCCCCCACGACACGTCCACGACACGTCCACGACACGCCCACGACACGTCCACGACACGCCCACGATACGCCCACGATACGCCGCGACACGCCCGCGACACCTTCACGACACGTCCACGACACGCCCACGACTTCGACGCCCGCAGGCAGTAGTAGCAAGCGACTCCTCGGGACGGAGCAACACCATAGCCGACGCCTGACGCGCACGGCACGGCCTCGGCCACGGCACGTCCACGACACGTCCACGACACGTCCGCGGCATGCACATGCACAGGCACGGCTTCGACCACGACCCCGAGGCGCAGGCCGCGCTGCGCAAGGGCATCTCGGACATCCACTGGTACCGCGAGACGCTGATGGTCTTCCGGAGGCGGCCGGGAGGGGCCGCCGCCAACGGGGCGCGCCGTGGCGGCGGATAGGGGCGCCGGCGGTCGGCGCCAGACAGAGGTGCGGAGAGGGGTTTGCTCCATCGTCGCGCGGATTGGCGTTGGCTCCGCTGGACCTGTCCCGCCGTCACACTTGGAGAGGTAAGAGTTTTCGAGAGAATTGGAAACGCTCGCGCGACTAGTCGCGCCCGGCCCCGGGCACTGCGCTCTGCCGTTTGCGGCTAGTCACGCGGCTAGTCTGCGCCGGTCAGCGGTCTGCGCACTGCGCTCTGCGGCACTCTCCGCCGGGGCGCCGCCGGTGGACTGGCCGACCCTGCGGGCTGCGGACAATGTATGATTGTTGTATGTGAATCCGCGGTCTCCCTTGACCGTATATCTGTATATCCATGTGATGACGTGGACACATACACACGGTCCTGTGCGTGCATTCGGCCCGGAGGGCGGGGGCGCAGGTAGAGGTAGGGCTGGCCTGGGGGGCCTCAGGTAAAGGTAAACCTGTCTCAGACCGCCGGAGGTACAGGTAAACGGAGCCCAGGTGAGGGCAGGTAAACGTACGCCCGTGAACGTGTCCGCCGAGGACCGACAGGAGGCCCCGCGAGAGCGCTTCGCCTGCGGCGCGCCTGCCCGGCCATGGACCAGGCTTCACCGCCGCTTGCTGACGGCTGATCGCATCGCCTACCGCATCGCGAATGACCAGTGCCGCGACCACTTGGACCTTGCAAAGAATCTGCATCTCCCCTCTTCGCCTCTTCGGCGCATTGGATTGTGCATGATTGCTCAAGTGGCTCGAATTGGCAATCCACCGCAATGCGAACATGGATGAAGAGCATATGCACCACGGACGCAGGCCGATGCCGTTGGCGACGTCGGTTATCAGAGGGGTCAGGTCATAGTGACACGCGCTCGATGGAATGCTGCATTGACGCAGACAGCAAAAGCATCGCAGCGGAGACCTTCTCAGGAGTGGCGGCTCGCACCATGCGGCAGTGCGGACACCAGGTGCGCAAATTTAAGAGCCATTTTCGATTACGTGGTTTTGGCACTGTCTACCAACTTCTCGCACTGGTCGCAGGGCCATGGAATCGTCGACGCCCGGCCCGAGGCCACCGCATGAGCAGCCCTGCACCCGAAACTCGCTCCGCGCCGGGCCGTCGGCGGGCGCGATGGCGCGCCTCTGCACGCAGAGCGCGCCGGCCCCGCTGCGTGCGCGGAAGACGCAGCTGACGGCACAAGCGACGCCGTCGTCGCGGCCCGTGCGGTTGACCAGAGCCTTGAGATTTTGCGCCCGCATCGAGCGGAGGTCGAGCCCAAGCGCAAAGCAGATGCCCTCCACGAGACAGCTCTTTCCTGCGCCGTTCGGGGCGACGATCGCGATGATGCCCCGCGAGTTGAACTCCGCCACCACACGGCCCGAGTAGGACTTGAAGTCGTCGAGGACGACGGCGTGGAGCGCGAGCCCGGCCGCGGAAGCGGCCAGCGCAGCGTCCCCAATTCTCGGGTCGACCATTTTGGCCAGACGCTGTTCCTTTTTGAAAAAACTCTCGGCGGGGCCACAACGAAGGCGCTCTCAAAAATCTTGTGGGCAACTTTGTCGACAAACATGGTGAGGAAAATTTCGGCGAAGAAGCGGCACTGGCGGCACGCCGGGACGAACCCGGACCGGTCATATTGTTCAGATCCACGGCGGCGAGCCGCCGCGAGCCCACCGGAGAGCTGGGAGCCGCGGCACTAGACCGCGCCGCCAGCGAGGCGAGAGCAGCAGCCGATGACCGGCCGTGACATGGCAGTTAGAACGGCGGGATTTTCTAACAGGAAGGTGTGGCCAAAAACAACCAGCCCCCGTGGGAACGCACTCCCGGCTCCCATGCGTGGCCCCCTCCCGTCTCCCGACACCGGAGGTCTCCGGGGCACGCCCCCGTGAACGCCGCTCCTCACACCGATGGCAAAAGAAATCGAACTCCGCACGGCTGACGCAAGCTGGATGGCTTGTCTGTTTTCTTTCTTTCTGGATGCCCCCCACCCCCCCCCTTAACGCGAATACAAAAGAATTTTCTCTCAAAGAACTAGGCACGGGACTGGCGCGCAGTGGCATCACACCAGTCACCACGATACGGCTCTACTCGGGCGCGGCCGCGCAGGACGAAAGAGCTGGAAGGAACCCCACGACGCAAATCATAATCTCCATCCGGACTGCCCGTGCACGTGACATGCACATGCACATGCACATGCGCATGCACATGCGCATGCACGTCACATGTGACTCCCCCCCCTCCCCCCCCTCCCTCCAACGCAATGTGAATGCCGCGCACAACATCCCACGGATGCTCCATGTGCGAGCTAGCTCTACTAATCGTCCCGTGTTTGCAGGTCATCGCCGCGCCGCACGTTTTGCGCACGACATCGCGCAACCGATCAGACCTGCTGCTGCACCGACGACGCCTCGCCTCCAGAGACCTCGCGCGCCTCCGCAGAGCTGCGGCTGCTCATCTTGGCGAACACCCGGCTGAGTCCGCCAAGGCTGCGCATCGCGAGACTGGTGCTGCCCTCAACGACGCTGCCTGAAGCGAGGAGGCCCGCCCGCGACCGAGCGGGGGTCGCGCCTAGGCTCTTTGCCAGAAGGACGAGCGACACCTGCGGGCAGGGACCCGCCCCTCGTCACGAAACGCTCGATGCGGGGGAGAGCTCGCTGTGGGGGAGAGGGCGCGCGCCTTGCGGTGGCGGCCGGGGAAGCAGGATTTTGCCAGGTCCTTGTAGAGTCCGCCGGCGATGAGCTCCTGCGGCGTTTGGGGGGGAGAGGGTTGGGGGGGAGGAGGGGTGGCGGGACAGGCGCCACGTTGAGACATTCGCTCCTGCGGCGTGACTTCGAAAAACCTCGAGAACTGGCAGCCGCCGAGCGCGGGGTCGTTCTCGTGCGCCATGACGATCTTCAGCTTGTCCTCCCGCGCCTGCTTGACCTGCTCGGCCAGCCGCTCGTCGCTGACGAAGCTGTCCTCGTTGAGGTAGAGCAGCAAGTGCGTCGCGCTGGCCGGCCGATCATCGGTGGTGCAGATCGTGAGACCGGCGGTCTCACGATCTGGGGCAAAGGCGGCGGCGATCTCATCGGCCAGCGCCAGCGACCCCGCGTTGGCTGGCGAGGCCCAGAGCGTGCACGGTTTGGAAAAGGCGAGCGACTGGCTCTCGAGCTCACCCGACACGCAGAGCGGAAGGGAGGTCCTGTCCAGAAAGTTGGGCGAGCAGAGGAGCACCGCCTAGGTTGGTTCAAGTGGGGTTGGCCGGGAGGTAGAGTGAGAGAACGGAGCTGGCTGTGGCCGGCGGCGCCTCGGCGATGATCTTGAGCGAGATGAGCTGAAACTCATCGATGCGATACCAAATCGTGAGCGGCCAGTCGTTGTCAAAGATGGCCGGCTGCAGGTCCTCGGGGCACTCGTCGCGCAGCGCCTGGAGCGTCCCGCCGCCCTTTTCAGGGTCCGCTTCTTGGACGAGGACGAGCGGCTTGTCCTTCTCGAGCGACGAGCGGATCTCGCGGAGGCAGTTCTGTGGCGCGGGCGAGGCGGCAGTTCTTGGGGCCAGGGTGCGGTAGAGGGGCGGGGTGGGAGGAAGAGGCGAGCCTTGGAGCGGAAGTAGCCCTGCGAGAGGAAGAAGAGGATGACCTGCGAGCTCTGGATGTACTCCTCCAGCGCCCCGATATCCTTGAGATCATCTACCTATGAGCACACCGCGGTGCGTCAGGGAGGCTCTTTGTGTAGCTTAAGCAGCGCTGATGAGCATGTGCGCGCGTCGAGAAAGACTTTGATGTCCGGCAGCAGCTGCTCGAGCTCACCCTTGATGACCTTGACGGCGTCTTGACCGGTCGACCTATTCGTTTGGATGAGGGGCGGGGGTCACGCCGGCTGTTTTCGCTCCCTCTCTCCCTCCATAGCCGTGACTCACCAGATGTGGCTGTTGAAGAGGTGCCACGTGAGGCCCCTCACGATGCTCAGCTCGGGGGGCTGCTTGGTCGAGACGAGTCGGATCGTGGGGACCTTGGCGACGCGACGGGCGGCGATGATGGCGCCGACGAGGAAGAAGGCGAGCACGACTGCAACGAGGATGATCATCGAGTCGACAATCACATTGAGGCTGCGGAAGCCGAGGACATCGGCGGGATCTGCTCCCTGGTACCGCTCCTGGATGCCGAGGAAGATGGTGCTCCAGTTGGTGCCGAGGAAGAGGAGGAGGAGCACGAGGCTCGTGGCGACGGCGAGCACGTTGTCCTCAACCCGCTTGTACGGCCGCACGACGGCGAGTGCGACGGCGTAGCATGAGCAGATGAGAGTCGCCACCACGAGGCGAACAAAGGCGCGCTCCTCCGGGATCAGAAGCACGAAGCCAGTCAGCACGAGCTTGCGCGCCAGCTCGACCGCCTCCCACCAGTACCAGGTCTTCTCGTACTCCCGGTGGAGGAAGGCGGTGGCCCGCGTCAGAGCATTCGGCGTCTTGGCCTGCAGCGGCTTGTAGCAAGCGGCGAGGAGCGACGTGAAGAGGACCAGCGAGCCGGCGGGCCAGAGGACGATGAAACCGATGGCGAGGGCGGTGATGGGTCCGTGATCGTCGGAGCCGCACTCGACGCTCGCGTCCTGCCGCATGTAGGAGACCTGCTCTAGCTCCTCGCCGGGCGGAGAGATGGTGTAGGCCTATCAGCAGAAACTTACGAGGACTGAGGGATGTGGTGTTGTGAGCAACGGCAGTCATCAGCTGTGAGAGGGCGCCTGGCACGACCAGGAGCGGAAGATGGAGGCGCTGATGGAGGGCACGAAGCAGAAGATGAGCACCAAACCGGCCGGCGTGAGGTCGAGGAGGCCGAGGGCCGCCTCCGCGTACCACGGCCTCTCGCGCGGCGCCGGGGCGGCGCGCCAGCGGTAGAGCCGCAGACTTATCCCCGCGATCATGAGCAAGGCGATGAGGGCGACGGGGGAGAGGGCGATGGCGAGGAGCCGCAGAGCGTAGCCGAGGCACTGCTCCGGCAGGAAAAAGCCAGACCAGTCGACGGAGATCACGTTGGCCAAGTTGTCCGTCCAGCCCGTGTACTTGTCCGGCAGCCGCGCGGAGTAGGTGGAGGAGAGGACGGTGCAGATCTGATAGAAGCCAAACAGGATCTTGAGCTTTGCCGTCATTCCGACCCCGACGTAGTACTTGACGGAGCGGTCTGCAAAGCGGAGGATAGGCCCGATGATGCGCTCCTTCCGCCACGGCATGTGGTAGGCCCACGCCGCCAAGCCGCACGCGACGCAGAGGCCGAGGACGAGGCCGGCGATGCGGCCCGCCGCCGCGCCGCGCGGAGCGCATACTTCGCAGGTGTCGCCGTCGACGAGGTACTGGTTCTCTGCGGCGCAGAGCTGGCACTCGGGGCCTTTGAAGTCCGACGCGCAGTACTCTGAGCCCGCCTCCACCATCCTCCGGCCTCTCGCCACCGGCTCGCTGCCGGCGCACCGCGTCTTGCCGGCATTGGCATTGCCGCCAAAGAGGCGGCACTCTGTCAGCACCGCGGAGGAGGGGCTGGCGCGCCAGAAGCCGCGCAGGAGGACGAGGGAAGAAAGGGTGGTGTTGTCCGGGCAGGCAGCGTTCGGCGGGCAGGGTTTGCAGTAGGCGGTCGGGGAGGTCAAGATGTCGCCTGGGTCGGCCGAGGTGTTCCGCAGATAGTAGTCGTCCATGCAGATAGAGCAGATGGTGCTGCCGCTGACCGAGCTGAGGGGATGCGGACATAGATTGCAGAGGCTTTGGCCAGCGTTGGCGGCGTATTTGCCAGCCTCGCACTCGTCGCACGCGACGCTGCCTTGATTCGACGAAGTGCCGGGATCGCAAGACTCGCACTCGGACTGCCCCTCTTTCGCGGCGAAGGTGCCAGGCGAGCACGGCGTCGGCTCGATGCTGCCCGTGGAGCAGGCGCTGCCGGCGGGGCAGGCCGTGCACTCACCCGCGGCGGTGAGGTTTGTTGCGTTCGAGTAGCTGCCAGCCTCGCACGGCAGCGGCGCCGACGCGCCCAGCTCGCAGTAGCTGCCTTTCTTGCACTGGAGACAGCCCGTCGCACCCTTATCGTGCTGGTAGGTCCCCCCCTTGCACGGCTCGCACTCGGAGAGGCCGCCCGTGGCAGCGAAGCTACCCTTGGCGCACGCCGTCTGCTGCGTGGAGCCCGTGGTGGCGAAGTGGCCCGGCGAGGCGTCGGTGCACTCGCTCGCGGCGGAGAGGTTGGTGGCGGTCGAGTAGCTGCCAGCCTCGCACGGCAGCGCCGCCGCCGCGCCAACAGCGCAGTAGCCGCCCGCCTCGCACGGCTTGCACGCCGTCTGCGCCTCCGCGTCCTGGTACGTGCCGCCGGAACAGGGCGTGCACTCGCCCTGCCTGGTCTCGTTCGTGTACGACCCCTTGGCGCACGCCGTCTGCTGCGTGGAGCCGGTGGTGGCGAAGTGGCCCGGTGAGGCGTCGGTGCACTCGCTCACGGCGGTGAGGTTGGTGGCGGTCGAGTAGGAACCCGCCTCGCACGGCAGCGGCGCCGACGCGCCCTTTGCGCAGTAGCCGCCCTCCACGCACGGAAGGCAGCTCGTCGCGTTCGACTCGCCCTGGTACGTCCCGCCCGCACAGCTGGCGCACTCGGAGAGGCCGGCCGTGGCGGCGAAAGAGCCCGGCGAGCACTCGGAGGGCGGCGCCGCCCCGCCGCCGCACGACGAGCCGGCGGGGCAGTCGAGGCACTCGGGGTCGCCGCTCCGGTCGGTCAGCTCGGCGTACGTGCCCGCCGCGCACTGCGCGTCCAGTTCGCGCGACGAGCCCTGAGGGCAAAACCTGCCGGCAGCGCAGCGGACGCAGTCGGCGGCGGCGGGCTCGCTCTGGTAGTAGCCCTGGGCGCACAGCTCGCAGCGAGCGTTGCCGAGGCCGGAAGCGTTGCTGCCTGGCGAGCACGGCGTCGGTGCCACGCTGCCCGTGGTGCAGGCGTGGCCCTCGTCGCACAGCGTGCACTCTTCCGATGCGGCAAGGTCGGTGGCGTTCGAGTACGACCCGGCGGGGCAGGGAAGTGGCACGCTCGTCCCCTTCGGGCAGTAATGACCCGCATCGCAGGGCAGCGCCTCATAGGTCGCCTCCGTGGGGCATTTGTAGCCTGCGGGGCAGCGGCCGGCGCAGCTGCTGCTCGACTGCTCCTTTGGGTCGGCCGAGCCGAGGAGGCCGGCGGCGCAGGCAAAGGGGAAGTCCTCATCGACGGGCAGCAGCGGCAGCTGGTAGAGGTTCACGCCGAGGAGAGAGGGGTCGCCTCCGGTCTCGTTGTTCCAGTTGCAGGGCTGCACGAAGGTCGGGGCCTGGCAGTACCAAGGCGGCTGGCCGACTGCTGCGACGGCGAGGGCGCAATCGTCGCGGTGCTCGAGGCACGCCTTCTGCTTGGCCTGATAAGCAGGGTAAGGGCACGCCCCCCGGTACACCTCGCAGCGCGCGTTCGGCAACCAGCGGCCGGCGGGGGCGGGGAGGGTGTAGGAGACCTCAGCGAGAAGGAAGATGGAATTCCCCTGACCCTCGGCAGAGCAGCCGCTGATGAGAGTGCCGTCACTCAGGGTGGTGCGCCCGCCCGCCGAGTAGAGGCCGCCGCCAGACAGGGCAGAGCAGCCGCTGATGAGAGTGCCGTCGCTAAGGGAGGTGCTGCCGCCCGCCGAGTAGAGGCCACCGCCAGACTCTGTGGCGATGCAGCTGGAGATGGTTGAGCGGGCCAGGCTGGCGGAGCCCGAGGCCACGTAAACTGCGCCGCCAAACGTGGCATTGCAGCCAGAGATGGTGGAGTCGGCCACGTTGAGGTCGGTGTCAGCCGTGTATGTAGCTCCGCCCCACTGCGGTTGGGAGGAGAGAGCGGGGTGAGGCAGCCGTGGCCCTCTCTACCTCGCGCCCCGCTTCCGTGCGGCGCTGCAGGGCCGGTGGCTAGCTCTACGCGGCGCACTCCCTCGGGACTGTGCACATTGCGAGCCGAGCAGCCCGACACGGCCGAGTCGATTAGCGAGACCGCACCGCTGCTAGACGCGAAGACGACGCCGCCGTACTGCGGTTGCGAGGAGAGAGCGGGGTGAGGCAGCGGTGTCCCTCTCTACCTCTCGCCCTGCTGTGCCGTGAGGCGCTGCACGAGTGCGGCTAGCTCTACGCGGCGCACATCAGCAGAGCAGCCCGACACGGCCGAGCCGATTATCGAGACCGCACCGCTGCTAATCGCCCTGACGACGCCGCCGACCTGCGGTTGCGAGGAGAGAGCGGGGTGAGACAGCCGCGGCCCTCTCCATCTCTCGCCCCGCTGCCGTGCGGCACTGCAGGGAGGGCGGCTAGCTCTACGCGGCGCACATTGCCAGCCGAGCAGCCCGATACGCTCGAGCCGATTATCGAGACCGCACCGCTGTCCCTCGTGTAGACGACGCCGCCCTCCTGCGGTTGCGAGGAGAGAGCGGGGATGAGGCTGCCGTGCCCCTCTTCATCTCTCGCCCCGCTGCCGTGCGGCGCTGCAGGGGTGGCGGCTAGCTCTACGCGGCGCACATAGTCAGCAGAGCAGTCTCTGACCGTCGAATCGATGATCTCGACGTCGCCTGCGCCATTAGCGTGCACAACGACGCCGCTACCCGCCCTCCCGTTGACGAGGGTCAGCCCCCGCAGGGTGAGGCTGCAGCCGCCCCGCAATATAAAGAGCCTGGTCTCTCCCTTGCCGTCGAGCGTCGCGCCCTCGCCGCTGCTCGCGACGGTCACTTTGATGGTGGAGGTGCAGCTGATCTGGCTGCTCAGCTTGAACTCTGCACCGGGCGACAGGTAGATGGAGACATTGGCAGCAGTTGAAGTAGCGTCCTCGATCAGGTTGCGGAGCTGGTCCTCGCTCGCCGCGGCGACATAGCCGGGGGAGAGCGGCGGCAGCGGCGGCGGTGTTGGCGGTGATGGCGGTCGAGGCGGTGGAGGCGGCGCTGGTGGCGGTGAAGGCGGGCGGGTCGCCCAGCAGATCTGACGGCAGAGGGAGGAGGGCATCAGAGAGGAGACGGAAGGGGAGCGAGAGGCACCAGGGGCACACCTTCCAGCCCGACTCGACTACGCTGCCATCCGATCGCCACTCGATGACGCCGTCCTCCGCCACCGCGCCACTCGGCCCCGAGGTGCCGCAGTACTTTGTGCCGTCGACGGTGAGATAGTCCCAGCGGCAGTTGCTGTCCGCCTCCACATCAAAGGCGACCGTCTCCAGCCCGACCGGCGGCACACCGCTGATGGTGCACTCCTCGCTGTTGCCGTAGCTGTTCGGGTAGTTTGGCGACGCGGCGCACGAGCCGCCGTCGGTGAGCGAGCACGGGCTGCTGACGTTGACGGGCGGTGGGGACGGTGGGGTGCCGCATACGCCGTGGAGGAAGAAGAGGATCACAATGCCAACTCGGAGAGCACGCGTGCTGGAGAGCAAGGGTACGGAGATCGCTGCGTGGCTGCTGCGCTCCACGCTCTTCTTCTTGACCTGCCCACGCAACGGCGGCTCAAGGAACGCCGCGAGGAGCAGCGCCAGCACGGCCGCACAAGGGTTGAGAAAGAGCAGCGAGGCCACATCGATCTCTGAGAGGGTCGTGGCGGTCGTGAAGCTCTCCTCGAGTGAGGGGTCGCCGATCTTCGTCGCGCCGGAAGTCTCGTCAAATAAGGGGGCGAGCTCGGCGTAGGCGCCGATGTTGAGCTTCATGGAGGTAGTCGGGTAGGTCTTACCGATCTCGGTTTCGATCTTGGAGTGGGCCGTGGCGGTCGTGCAGTCCGCCTCGTCCGTCGTGGAGCCCGGGACAGGCTTGTTCTGTGAGGGGGGGAGGGCGGGGGGGAGTTGGGGCGGAGGTGGGGACGGCGCGCAGCGGAGGCGCCGATGTGGGGCCGACGGTGTGGGAGCGGGGAGCGAGGGCGGGGCGAAGCGGGGCGAGAGAGGGCGGAGGGCGGCGCAGGGGAGGGCGGCGGAGCAGAGAGAGGCGGCTAGGGAGGTGGGGGGGCGGCGGGGGAGGGCGGCCGGCAAGGAATGGTGTTGGGGAGGGGTGAGGGAGGTGGCGGCGGCGGAGGAGGGGCCGGGGAAGGAGGTGGGGAGGGCGGCTGGGGGAGGGCGGGGGCGGGGGCGGGGGCGGGGGCGGGGAGGGGGAGAGGGTGGTGGGGGGAGAGTGGGGGGCGGCGAGGACGCCCGGGCGGAGATGGAGAGGCGGGGAGGGCGGCGGAGCATGCCCCCGTGAAGGAGGCCAGACGGTGTGGGAGAGAGCGGAGAGTCGCACACCTTTGTGTCCGTCTTGTCGGCCTCGCCCTTGGAGTGGGCCGTGGCGGTCGTGCAGCCCGTCTCGTTGCTCGTGGAGCCCGAGGCCTTGATCGGATCCTCAGAGACGCAGAGCTCGGCGAGCGGCGGCGGCGGCTGCGCGCACCACACAGGGGCGCCGCCGCCGCCGCACGTGACACCGACGGAGTTGGCGGTGGAGTCGGCGAGCGAGCCGTCGCCAACGATGGCCGCGCCGGCAGCCTCGCCAAAGGAGGCGAGCTCGGCGTCGGCCGCGGCGCCGATGGGCTTGACGGTGGTCGGGGCGGCGGCGCGCGAGGCGGCGCCGCTGAACTTGGAGAGGTTGAACGGGAAGGAGAAGGTTGGATGGAAGGTGGCGACGACCGGCCAGGCACCTAACAGCGCCCACCCACCCCCGAGGACGTCTTGGTGGAGCAGGAGCTCCGCGGCCTTGTCGGGTTTGCGCGAGGCAGACGCCGCGAGGGCGAGCGTCGGCGCGTCGGTCTCGAGCTTGATGCTGAAGTCGGTGCGGTTGCGCGTGTCGATGAGTGCCCCCCCGCGCCGCGGACGGGGGCGAGAGGCGGCGGTTGAGGGCGTCGCGAGAAGAGCGAGGGCGAGCATGGCGGCGTGCAGCAGATGTAGGCGGAGACAGATGCTCGAAATCGAGATCGCAGAAAAAAACACGCCGAATGGTGTTGTTCAAGGCGGCTCGCACAGTAGTGTGTGTACGTTGGACGTCACGAGGTGTGGTGTGGACGCGAGAATACTTAGCTCCGCCGTTCATGGAGGTAACCGATGCGAGTGCGCGGCGCATCCCCGGCGGCCCGACGGTGGCCGGCGCTTGCGCGCCAGCCCCCTGTCATAGCTACCGGTACGCGCGCCATGGGGCGACTTTGTTATGTACATTATCTCGTGCAACGACCCTCCTGTGGCGCCTCGCGCTCCCGGAGAGAGCGAGAGAGATTACAGATTTCTTTTCTAGCAATACCAAACAACTCTAACAGTAACACACTCACACCACGTGTTTTTTTGTCGCTCCGGCGCTCCCCAGTAGAGCGCAAAACGAAACATAAAACGCCCTCCAACATCGGATCAACAGACACTGACGTCCTCACACCGGCAAGCACCACGACCAAGGCGCGGCAGTCTCGGCTCTCACGCCGCTCTCCGGTACGTGTACCGCCCGTTCGCAAAGCTGACCGCGACCGGCGCGCCGTCCGCGCCTCCGAGCGCGTCGACGGCGGCGTCGCGCGCACCGGCCGTCTCGACGAGCAGCCTCGCGGCGGTGGCCACGTCGGCGTCCGCGCCGCCGGCGACGACGAGCTCCCTCAGCCTCTTGAAGGCGTCGGCCGCGCGCACGTCGCGGATCGCCTGCTTGAGCGCCGGGTGGAAGTCTCCCGAGAGCACGTCCTCGGCGGGCCACCACTTTGTGGCCGCGTACTCCTTCTCGTCGAAGACGGCGCCGGCGACCTCGGCGTCGCCCAGCGCGAGCCGGTGCACCGTCGAGATGTCAGCCGTGCCGTTCCCCGCCGGCGGCTGCTGCCGGAACTGCCAGACGAACGAGTAGTTTGCGACCACCTCGAAGCGCTCGAGAGGCAGGTCGAGCTTGAGCTCGCGCCGCACGTTGCGCGCGGCGGCCGCCTCGGGCGTCTCGCCCGGCTTCGACCGGCCGCCGATGTACCACCAGTCCGGCTGCGGCTCCACCTTGCGCTGGCCCAGGAAGACCTTTGAGCCGCTCGCGTCGGTCACGAGGACGTCGGAGCACGCCTTGACGACGGTGTCGAGACAGCGGCCGTACTCGTCGTCGGGCAGGAAGCAGTGGCGCGGCGTGAACTCGCCGGTGATGAACTGCGGCGTCCGCTGCATGGCGTGCCGCCCTGCGCTTTCTCTTTTTGCGCTGCGGCCGCCAGGCGCCCGCCCCGGCGGTGAGCGACGCGGAGCGAGTGAGCCGCCGGGAAAATAAAAGAAAAAAGCGCCCCACAAGCTGGGAATAGGACCGCCGCAAGCGGCGTGGCGTGGAGCGGTTGAGCATCCCTCCGGGGGCCCCTCTGCGCCGGGGAGGCGTTGTTGGAGGCTAGGCAGGTCCTAGGACGCAAGCGTCCGTCGCCTTTTTCAAACTCGGGGCCCACTCCGCTACGCTCCGACCCGAATTTGGAGGGCCATGAAATTTAAGGTGTTGCTGCGCAAAAGAAAGGGGCGGGGCGCGGGCGTTTGGGTTTGCGGCAGGCCGAGAGAGAGTTCTTTTTGGAGACCAGACCTTTCGATGGTTCATGCTTTAGGCTGCACACATGTTTCCTCGCTCACCCCGTCTCGTTTCCTTTCCGTGTTTCTCTACAGCACCCTCTCGTTTCCTCTCTAGTTTCCCCGGGAAACTCCGTGGAAATCAGCTGGTTTGGGCCCAAAATCAGCCAAATCGGCAAAATACCGGGTATTTTGCGGGTATACCTGGAAAAAACCGGGTATACCTGGAAAATACCCGGTATGTTGCCGGTTTCTGAGTTTAAATGAACTCGGGGGCACGGGACGCGGCACAAACGGGGCACAAACGCCAGGCCATAAAGACGGGGGAGGCACGTAGTGACGCAGGGGAGTCTAGGCGACGGCGGCGTCCTCCGACGCCGCGGCGAGCCTGAGCTCGGTCGCAATCTCTTCCGCCGCCGCGAGCTGCAGCGCGACTGACATGCGCTGGGCCTGCAGCGACAGCCACGACCGCGTCGACCAGCTCGCCTCGTCCTCGTGCTGCCGCTTCGAGAGCTTGTTGCGCACCTTGTCCAACAGCCGCTTGACCGCGTTGCACCACCCGCCGAAGGTTTCGAACAGTACATCTGTACGCGTCGGTTTCCTCGGTTTCGCCTCAGATTTTGCCCCAGACCAGCTCTCAGACTCAGGGAAACTCGAGAGTTGCCAGAATGGAGCTCCAAACACCCTCTGGTTTCCCTGGAAATTTCCGGAAACGAAAAGTGCTGGGGGCCCTCTCGTTTCCTTTTTGGTTTCCAGAAACATGTGTGCTGGCCAATTCATGCTTTCTATGTCTATTTCCATCGTGCTTCATGACACGACACGCGGTGGTGGGAGCTGGTGGAGCTGTCAGCTGATCGATCCAAGCGGGTGGGGAGTGGGGGGCATGGCTGGGCATGCAGGCCCGCCAGTCGGCCCGGCCTCTGACGTGGTGCTGCCGCTGCATTCGCTGAAGAAGCTAGAGAGGTCCGACTTGATTGGAGGCACTGGAGGCGAGGCGAAGGGAGGTTGGGCCGGGCCGTGAGGGGCTGATGGCGCTGGCCAGCGCGGGGAGTGAGATGTCGTCGTCGTCGTATACTGCTGGCCCTCGCCCTCAGTTGCCAGGGCTGTGGGCTGCAGAATTGGCGTCTGTACTGTGGCGTCTATTGCAATACGCAGGCTCTGCAGCGTGATGGCAGGCGGGACTGCGAGGCCGGCGGCAGCGGAAGGAGAGGCTGGGCACGAGCCAGGAACAGGCTGGCCAGGTCCGCAGGTGGCTGCGCTTGGGCGAGGCGCGCGCGCGCATGGCGGGCCGAGCAGGCTCGGCATATGGTGAACCCCCGATGTCGCGATGCGGTCCCGCTTTTCCGCGATCATTCTAAATGGCTCCGGTGGTGTGCCGGTGATAGTACTAGCACGCGCCAGTTCGCACCTGTGTCGAGCCTGTGTGCTGTGAGAGAGAGTTCTTTTGTTTAAATTCTATAAAATGAACTCGGGGGCACGGGACGCGGCACAAACGGGGCACAAACGCCAGGCTACAAAGACGGGGAGGCACGTAGTGACGCAGGGGAGTCTAGGCGACGGCGGCGTCCTCCGACGCCGCGGCGAGCCTGAGCTCGGTCGCAATCTCTTCCGCCGCCGCGAGCTGCATCATTTCGTCCGTCCAAACGAAAAGGAAGCGCCGGATCAAGAGAGAGATTTTAGAATTTTACAACGAAACTCCCAGATTTTAGAAAACCAACAAGAAATCACGACTCTCACAGTGATTTGGGCTCGGCAGCTTGTCAGCCCTCAGCCGAAGCTGGGGCCGGTCCCGTGTAGCCGAGAGAGCCCGCGCCGATGAGTTCGACGCGGTCGGGGGGCCTTGCGGAGAGGCCAGCGAGGTGGCGATCGCTGTACTTCATGGCGCCCTCAAAGTGGAGCTGGCTGACTCGCCAGAGGTCGATACTCTGGACGACCCATAGGATGCCACGAATGCCTGAAGGAGAGGCAGGCGAGGCCAGAGGCAGGCTCAGCTGCTCTCTCGGGTGCTATCACTTTGGTGGCTGAAGGACCCGATGGTCCTGTCACATAGATTCGCGTTCCGAGTCGTGGGGGTAGGAGAATTCGAGGTAGAATAAGTCAACACTTCCTTGTAGTACAGCGGACCGCCAGGCTCGCCGGCAGCATCCGCAGGGAGGCAGCATATGAGGCACCAGTCCTCTGGAGAGCTCAACAGCTGCGGCCGCGATGGTAGAGTCGGCCGCGGTTCGAGCGAGCAGCTTTTGGCTGCGGGATCGAATCGCGGAAGGCTCATGCCCTCGCGGAGCGACGCGGGTCGCGCGGCGCGCGCGTGTGCGAAATGTGACAACAGACGACAGACGAGAGGCGCCTGAGCGCTGTACGACTGAACGACCGTCGCCGCAATCGCCACCGCCGCCATTTTGACGAGCAGCGCGCGCGCTCGTCGGCGGCCAGCCGTCGCGGGCCGGGCCGAGCCCGGGGGTGCGGCTGCGCATTTTATGTTCCCTTCTCGGCGAGTGAAAATCGCAGATTATGTTGTATCGATAGATCTCAACATCTCGAGATCACTCGAGACCACGTCGAGAGAGAGATCTACACTGTCTCGCCTCGCGCGGCGAGAGAGAGAACCTCGAGGCGAGATCACGCACAGGTAAAGTCTAAAGATCACGGCTACGACTAGTCTACGTCGCTCAGAGGTAGAGGTAAAGGGCCCACGGCTACCCACAGAGGTAAAGGCAAGAGGGCCGCAGGCCCTCAGAGGTAGAGGTAGCCTAGAGCCCTCCTACCCGGCCCTCCGGGCCGAGTGCATGAGCATGTCCTCGGCGTGCGCACTAGTCTGTTAGTGTACTAGTTTTTACAATTCACCACAGGAGACAGAGACATGGTGTCCACTCTTCACTCAGTCACACGTCACACACGGCGAGAAGTGGGGCGAAGCCCCCAAAAGGTCCATGCACGTCCTCAACAGGAGAGTTTTCGAGACGGACGACATTGTAAGCATGAGTCGAGAGCTGTCGCGGCACGTTTCCGCGCGCCCGCCGCAGGAGCGGCGCCGCGATCTCACACGGCGCCGCGAGCAGTGCGACTCCACGTCGCCCACCGCGGCCTAGTCTCGCGCGCGGATGCCTCGCAGCACCGACCCGCCCGCAGCGAGTCCGCGTGGCGGCGAAGCGGGGGGGGCGGGGGGAGGGGGGGGGAGGGGAGAGCGCGGTGGGCAGCGCCGGCGGCGGTTCTCCTAGGCCCGCGCGCTGATCGTGAAGGCGCCCGGGTTGATCGCGACGCTCTTGGTGCAGTCCTTGGTCTTGTAGATGCCGACCAGCCTGCGGACAGCGTCAGTTGGACGTGTGAGCTGGACGTGTGAGCTGGACGTGTCAGTGGGCGGGCGTGCCAGCGGGCGGGGCGAGGGCGGTGGCGGCGGCGCGAGCAGAGTGGCGGCGGAGGCGTCGGCAGGCGTGTTGGGGAGGAGCCACAGGCGGGGCGGGCGGGAAGTGTCTCGGAGGTGTTCGCTGCTCGATAGCCAATGCCCAATCTCGGCGAATCTCGGCGAATCTCGGCGAATCTCGGCGAATCTCGGCGACGCTCGCCGGTCGGCCAGCTCGAACATGTTGTTGCGCAGCGAGATGATGACGAACTGGGCGTTGCGCGTCCGCTCCTTGATGTAGTTGCCGACGATGGACACGTTGCGGAAGTCGAGGGCCGCGTCGATCTCGTCCATCACGTACAGAGGCTGAGAGCGGCGCAGGAAGGGGGAGGTGGGGGGAGTTGCAAGGAGGTGTTGGGAGGTGTTGGGAGGTGTGGGGAGGTGTGGGGAGGTGGGGGAGATGTGGTCCGACCTCGAGACCTCGAGACCGCCCGAGGTGCAACTACCTCCAGTGCGGCGCGGCCGAGCGGCGTCCCGGGGCTCGCCATAAGAGCAGCCGAAGTGCAGCCGAGGTGCAGCCGAGGTGCAGCCGAGGTTTATCCGAAGGCAGCCGAGGTGCATCCGGGTCCGAGAGATCCAGCCGAGATATGTGGAGATCTAGCCGAGGTCGCACCTGCCGCTCGAGAGCCCTCCGCCACATCTCCACATATCTCTCCACATCTCCACACATATCTCTCCCCACATCTCTCCCCACATCTCCGGCACCTGCCGCTCGAGGCCCTCCGCCGCGGCCTGCTGCTTGCTGAGCGACGCCTCGAGCTTGGCCTGCGCGGCGGTCTTGCTCTCGAGACCCACCTCCGCCTTGGTGACCGCCTGCTCAGCAAAAAAGAAAACAACCTTCGGCCCCGTGCCCAGTGCAGCGTTGTTTTCTTGTTTGCCATGGTGAGGGCCTGCTGCAGCCCCGAGACTTGCTCTCCGAGCGTCTCCACCTTGCTCTTTTGCGCGCGCAGCTTGATGCCGCCGACGGCGAGGACCTGCTCCTGCAGGCTCGCGAGCGTCGCGTCCGCCGCGCCAACCTTCTTCTCGCCCTCGCCCACGCGCTTGCCCAGCGCCTTGATCTCCTTTGCGAGCTCGGCCAGCCGCGCCACCTCCGCCTCGCTCGGCTGGCTCGCCGCGCGCGCGCTGTCGAGCCGCTTCTCGAGGGCGGCCCGCTGCGCGGCGGCCGCCTCGAGCTGCATCGCCTGCGCGTGGACGTGTCGTGCGCATGTCAGCGGGGCGGGTCTCAGGGGGGCGTGTCTTCGAGATGGCGTGTCTTCGAGATGGCGTGTCTTCGAGATGGCGTGTCTTCGAGATGGCGTGTCTTCGAGATGACGTGTCTTCGAGATGGCGTGTCTTCGAGATGACGTGTCTTCGAGATGGCGTGTCTTCGAGATGACGTGTCTTCGAGATGGCGTGTCTTCGAGATGACGTGTCTTCGAGATGGCGTGTCTTCGAGATGACGTGTCTTCGAGATGGCGTGTCTTCGAGATGACGTTCTTCGAGACAGGCTAACTTGTGA